GCTTGAGCAATACATCTTGACCTCTCTCTAGGAATACAATAACATCGAGGATCTAGAGCACGGATGCCACGTCAGTCTATGGGCTCTGTGAAGCAAAGTTGGCGGCTTGCACGTACCCATATCATGAGACCCGTTCTCAGTCTGGACTCACTGTCCAACCATCTCCTATGAGCACTTGATCCATCCGCGTGTTGCGCTACCTGTGGCAAGTCTTCTCGTATACCTAGTAAGTCCATCTTCCGACAGGCATTGATCAAGAAGTGCCGTACTAGGAATGCCAAATCGTAGCGATCGCCGCGGACACCGTTGTGCAGGTCGTGTATCAACCAGAGGATAGACATTTGAGCGATGACTAGACCCATTGAATCTTCTCCGGGGCTTATCAGTGACACTTGAGAAGATCCTGCCACATCATCTAGGGCACCCGTTGAAATGTAAAATCGCACAGCGCTTTCCAAAAATTGAAGAAACAGGTCTCTGAAGCCGAGATTGGTCTCGCCTCGGGAGTAGACCGAGCCAATTGCACAGACGGCCAACAAAAGAGGCCAATTCGCCGGCTCATGGTAGAAGTCGGTTGGTTTCTGCAGGAAGTTATAAGCGGGGTGGAAATGTTGAAAGTACAATCGGAAATAAACTCGAGCGTGAGCTATGGATGGAAGCGGTGTCGCGCTGCTGCCTTGAAGAAAAGGTTCGACGCTGATGTGTTGCAGAAGGTTATCAAAGGCCTGTACAGATAGATCAAGCCCTGTCCCTTCATCAGCTTCTTTGGAGGTGCCTGGAACCGCTGTGCTGGGAGTCGGAGTGTCAACATCGGGCCTCGCTGCATTATCCAATACTAGACTTCTTTGCGACGGGCGACCTTTAAAGGGTGCCCTAGATGGGGCACCATCGACATAGTAAGTCGCCGTGGTGGATGATGATTCAACGGATCCAGTCGTGCTTCCATTGGGTCTACTCCTGGGCGTTGTCCCTGGTGGATTGAGCTGGTGTGCTGATGCTGGTGGAAGTGCGGCATTCGAAGTCTGGACTGGCTGACTGTTGAGGAGGTTCAGCCAGGGCCCTTGTCGTACGGCCTCATAGGCATTCATGACGGTTTGTACGCCGTCTAGGTTGGCCGAGAAGGCTTCTCTCTCGTTCACAGAAGACATGATGCCCCAATCAAAATCTGAATAATATTGAGGAGAAAGCCAGTTGATGGCCGAAATACCAGCAGATTGCTCGGGAAATTCCTCGTTTTGAATGAAGTTGTCTATGGGATTTATCCCATAACCTACTTCGCAGTTGTTGACTGGGAAAGTCTGATCGTTGTCTCCTGGGACTTGCGGAAGAGTCCACGAGGTTTCGACTGCGCGCCTTTCTGACGCGTGATTCGGAGTCGGGAATGGTATCTCGGCCATCCCTGGAGGTTGTGGAACTTGTGCTGGGTCGGCATACTCCATGACCTCTCCCTGACTATCATGTCTGTCTCCGGGAGCAGTATTCTCATCCGGAGACCGTACTGCTGTACGAGGACCTCGGCGGCGGCCAGCTGGATATTTGCACTCGAGACCTTTACCCGTACAGCGACGACAGGGGCTCTCTTTTGAGCAGCGTGAACGGCTTACAGCGCAAGCCTGACATGCCCTGGAAGATGCCATGGGCCGCCGAGACTCGCTTGCGACCTCATCATGAGAGGTCGCATGACGAGTGAGCACATCTCTATACTTGCATTAGTGCATGAAATTAGTGAGAAAATAATGAGAACGTACAATCGGGAGAAGCTCTTGCCGCATGCCGAGCATGAAAAAGGCTTTTCTCTCGTGTGTGATCGCTTGTGCCGAGTGAGATGCTCCTGGCGGCCAAAGGTGCTCCCACAGTAATCGCATTTGAACACTGGAGCATCAACCGTTGGATTTGCGACCGCGATGACTTCCTCGCTATCGGACGTTGAGCCTGTCCGCTCGTTGCCGGTCTGTTCCGTCTCTGCCATTATGCTTTCATCTTACTTATGAACTAGACACAGTGTCATGTTCAGCGAGTGAGCGCGTCATGCTGGATCACTGAGAGCGATGGAAAGAGAAAAGGAATGAGCATCGAAACCTGCTGATTAGTGTCGTATTATTTGAAAATAAGGCGGGGAGCATGCACTAAAGACAATTGGGCTCAGTGGCGTGTTTACCCCGAGGAACGCGAGATGAGATGAGTTCCGCGGTGACTAGCCGCACGCGGGGTAAGGAGGAACACCGTTCATTTGAGCGGCATATGACCCCTGTAGCTTATGCCGTTTCTCTTACTATTCCGCTGTAACTCTCCAAAAACGTGGTGGCCAACAGGAAGACAGCCCCGAATGTGACGTTGAATTTTGACCTTGTCAGTACTCGGCGTCTCGAGTCTCTATTCAAATAAGAAGATCTATCCTACTCTGTTCTCTGCAGAACGACTTCTGCCTTTGACTTTCTAACAAACACTGGCATCCAGTCTAGAGGGCACTCGATCTCAATCTCCTGTCCGCCCTCAAAGTCTTGCTCCTCAGAGCCCTCGTGAGGAAGAGTTGTCCATCGCTCTCCACCATCCAACTTCGGCAGATAGACTTTGGCCTTGGTGATGCCGGGATTGACAATGGGGCAGCAAAGATAGGCATCACCATACATGTACTGCTCGGCCCCAAGCTGCCAGCACCTCTCATCTCCCGGGAACTCGTAAAACAGCGATCGGATCACGGGCGACCCATGTTCGTGGGCCTCAGCCATCAGCCTCCGCGTGTAGTCTCTCAACTTTTCGCGGATGAAGAGATACTTTTGGCAGATGGCATACACCGCCGGGCCATACGACCAGACCTCGTTGGCCGCTCCACTGCTCGAAGCCAAGCCGCCCGGCTTCGGTTCTCGGTCGCCGTGCAGTCTCATCACGGGGCAGAACGCGCCCCATTGGAACCACCGCACAAAGAGCTCACGGAAGGCCTCGTCTTCGGGGTTGCCGCCGTGGAATCCTCCAATGTCGGTCGTCCACCAGGGCAATCCTGCAATACCCATGTTCAGTCCGGCTGCCAGCTGGTTACGGAAGCTACCCCACGAAGACGCGATATCGCCGCTCCAGACGAGTGCGCCGTACTTTTGACTTCCGGCCCATGCGCAGCGTAGCAAGTTGACGATATTCTTCTGGCCGGCCTCCTTCTGACCGTCGAAAAACGTTCGGGCGTATTCTTTGGGATAGATATTGCCGACGGAAAGGTTCGGGCCGAGGAAGTAGCGGTAATTTTCAAAGTCGTAGACGGAATACTCTGGCTCGGCTTGGTCAAGCCAGAATGTCTTGATGCCCTTTGAGAAGTAGTTCTGCTTGGCCTTGTTCCAGACGTACTTACGAGCCCCCGGGTTGGTGGGATCGTAGTACACGGTAGAACCTTCGAACTCAAAGTTGGTGCGGACACCTCTCTCGGTGCGGACGAGGAATCCTTGCTCGAGCATCTCTTGGAAGTTTGACGATCTCTGATCCACTGTTGGCCAGATTGAGACCATGAGCTCAACGTTCAACTCGCGGAGCTCTTGGATCATGGCATCTAGACTTCGAATTAGTTGATGTGACAGACATGGAAGGCCAGTGAGCTGTCCTTACCTGGATCGGGCCAATATTGAGGGTCAAACTTCCACTCGCCTTGCAACGGCCAGTGGAAGAAGTCGATAACGATGAGATCAAGGGGAAGTTCCCGACGGCGGTATTCCCGGGCGACCTCAAGAAGCTCCTCTTGGGTCTCGTACCGGAGTTTACACTGCCAGAAGCCCAGGCCGTGTTCTGGCATCATGGGAGCTTTGCCAGTCACATTTGCGTAACGCTGCACGATATCGGCGGGCGTGTCACCGACCACGACCCAGTAATCCAGAATGTTGGTAGAGTACGCCTCAAAGGCAGTCGTATTCTTTCCAAACACAACGCGGCCGATGGAGGGATTGTTCCAAAGGATCCCGTAGCCTAGAGAAGACAACGCGAAGGGCACACTGGCCTGCGAGTTACGGTGTGCCAGCTCGAGGTCGAGGCCCTTGAGGTCCAGGAAGGGTTGCTGATACTGGCCCATCCCAAATATCTTTTCGTCAGGTCGCTGGCTCTCCAAGCGCATTGTGAGGTGATAGTCGCCGCCCCGAAGAGGTTTGAACTCGCGGGCCTCGACCTCAATGGCGCTGCATTTGGCGTCGAGCAGGTCGCGACGGTTCCGGGCGTACTCTTCGAGGACGACGACATCGTCGGCGTTGTAGATGGTAATCTTCCCCCGCTTGCTCACCAATGCCTTTGCCTTCCCGTTTTGTATGCTGGCCGAGCCGTCTTCGGCGAGTGAGATCTCTGATTTGACCTGCTTTGGCTCTTCTTCTAATGCCCATGCCTCAGCGGGCATCACATGAGCCTTGGTAGCTCGGACTCGGAAGGCATCTGGACCCCATGGCTGGATCCACACTTGTTCCCCATCATATTGGTAGATCAGAAGGCCGTCCTTGTGGTGAATCATGGCGGATATTGCGACTGGTTTCCTGATGAGATGGACGCGCCCTAGAACCAGAGGTAACAATTGATCAAGAACTGGTAGATGACCAGAGAACACGAAAGCTACGAGGTCAATAAAAAGCCAGAGATAAGAACCTCCTCACAAGCTTCGATTTATCGTTCCACCAGGAAACTCATCGGTGGTCCTCCTCCAACGGACTTCACGCCGGCGCCTGATCATCGGCGACAAGAACATCCGTTCTCATGATGACCCAATTCTTCGAAGCTTCTCCACCGGAGTTCGTCGAGTAGACGGGTCAGCGGGGTTACTGAAGTTAAGGTTGCGCTTTCACCACGAAGAATCACTAGGCCGGCTGGGTTCGTCAGTCTTGTTACCCCGCCGGAGCAAGGCAGGCTCGAGCTCCGGTGGAGAGACGAACCCCGCGATTCTCCAGACAACTAAACCGGGTAGGCAATACCGGCAGATATCATTCAGACCAGGACAAGCCAGAAATTTCAATTGTGCCTCAGAAGTTGGTTCAAATTAATGACTAGCTCGCAAACGAGTGTCCTTGGTTCCATATCCATCCCTGATCCTGTCTCCCGAAACAACTCTCGGTGAGGTACTCGCTGAACTCCACCGGGTCTCCCTCCCCGACACCATTGATATCATACATCATGACTAAAACTAAGGTTAGCTAAAGAAATCTCTTTGGGGGACTTGGCCTTACTCTGCTCGAATTCCGAGAGCGCTTGTGTTATGATTGGGTCCTCGCTGAAGCTTAGGCTCGCTGTGGCATCCTCTACCAAGTCAGCCGCCGGCGGACTTTGCTGTAGTGCGATCTGGTTGATGTTGCTGTTTGAGTCTATGGGAACCCTGTTGGGACTCTGGCCAGTGACTTCAATGGCATTCAGGCTAGCCCTTGTTTCGATGTCTCTTCCATTTTGGTCGGTTTCTGTTTGTGGGGGAATATCCAAGTGAAGCATTCTTTCCATCTCCTTAGTCATGACTAGCTTCATCAGTTTCGTGAGAATGTTCAGTCCCTGCTCGGCGACAACAGACTTGGACTTGAGCTGAGAATGCATCTCCATCAATTTTCGAAGGCCCATTTTGGAGTCATAGGCCTCCCGGCTCAATGGGTCCAGTCCCGTCATGATGGAGAGCGTAACACCGGCAGTAAACAGATGTAGCGCAACAAATGACAACGCGTATGTGTCAATCACCTCTTTGAAGTGCGGCGTGCAGCCAATGTTGGCAATCTGCAAGGCCGCGTCTCGGCAACTTCGCACCGAGCGCTGGAGCGGATCATTCTCTCCGATTGAACGGAAATCCGAACCCTCGGCCGTATTGATCTTCTTCATTGCTTTGTAGGCTAGTAAGGGCCTGTGGACCAGTATTCTAGCGTTCTCGTATGCGAGTTTGAGTGCCAGTCCCTGGATGCGGAAAGTGTGCTGGTGATGTTCCGGCCTCAGAGAATGATTGGCGCCCCCGGGCCAGTCAGCTGCGATTGCAACCTCATCTTCTTTGAAGACCAACTCTTGCGGAAGATGGTCGTGCCACTGACGGATGTGTTGGTCCAAGCTAGTAACTGCATTTATGAGACGCTGAACTAATGGACCTTCGGGTCTTGCACCGAGCTCGTTGCTGTTGGGCTGCTTCCGGTTCCCGTAGAGCTCCGACAGCGCCCTTTTCACAATAATCGACAGCTGTGCCATCGACACCTTGTATGAGAGTACAGTAGCTTTTCCGGTCGACTTCCATCTTATGGACTCCCAAGACGCATCTTTTGATCGCAAAGGATATTGTTCGGGTACTTCGACGTTGCAATCCTCGTCAACGATGCTAAGAGGAAAGCCATACAGCATCGAGCAGAAGGTCTCAATCTCATAGATAGCCCACCAGCATCTTTTGCGTGTCTCAGCTGCCCTGTGGACCGGGTTGTCAACGTCGGGTACGGTTGAGAGCTCATCTTCATCTTTGTGTCGTTGATGAAGTTTGAGAGCTTGGGCGATACGCAAACCGCTTCCGCAAATGGGCCAGGCAAGCTCGGGTTCCCCGTGGTACAGATAGAAACTTCCTAACAAGATGCACATCTGCACAGCCTCGATGGATCCCAGGGAGACTACGTCGAGGAATCTCACCTTCAATGTCGCCAATATGTTTTCTTGCAATGAATCTGGATCAACGCCAAGTTCAACGAGTTGAGAGTGCTGCTCGGGGCTGGCGTAGCGGAGGCTAGTTAAGCAGACAGCAAGCACAAGACCAAGTATACCAGGATTCGCTTTTCTTGGTGGAGATCCCGGTGGTGCAGTAGTATGAAGCTCTTGAACTCGGGCTCGAAACTCGCTTGTGAAGAATATCATCATAAACCAATGGATCTTCTCAAAGTAAATGTTGACAAGCACTGCCACAGGGGCTTGTGCTGGCAAGACGGAAAGAAAGTCTCTTTGGGCTGCGCTCATGGCGCCATGATGCCGTGAGATAGATCGGATACGCTGTTGGGAAAGGGGTCGAGCTAATGACGGGACGGAAGCACTGGCTTCTCTGGCGTCTTCATGGGCACCTCGCGAAGTCCACTCAGTAGCTGCGAAGGCGGAAGTATCTGCTTCGTCCGGCGTGTGTATGTCGTGGTGTTGGAATGCCTTGCTCAGGATCCAAATTAGGTCTAACTTCCATAGTAGTAGGGATCTTTGAGAATAATTACCTCGTCCAAGAAGCTGACCGCAGCCGAGTTTGTTGACCATGGTCTACTAGAGGTAACCTGTTCCGAAGATGCCCGAGGTGCGGGTGCGGGACTTGATTCATCGGCAAGTGACTGGCGTTCCGATGAAAGTATCAAGGGTGGCATGGTAGCCACCACGATGGGAGAAGTGCTTTCCTCAGCGGTTTCCTCCGTTCCGGTTGCTCGACGGTCCCGTTTCGCTGGACGAGACCTGCCAGTGCCTGGCACTCTGTCTCCCTTCCGAGTCCGTGACGGGGTGATGTTGGGCCCCTGGACCCTCCACACGCTAGGTTTATCATTGATGCAATTCACTCCGGCTCTGATACACAGAGTACAGGGACGTTGAGGATCGCACTGGTCAATCCCGTTAGATGATGTAAAACAACACTGCCGGGCTTGAAATAATGGGCACATAGGGTTGGGCAGCCTACCTTCAACTTTTGCTTTCGACAGCGTTGACATGCGGCTGCAACCTTTCTCCTCGGTCTTTTCGACTCCATGGTCATTGTATCCTCCGATCTGTTCATTGCTGAAAGTGGGCTCGACTTGATGCGCAAAATGTTGTTGACGTGTAGATGTGAGTCGGAGGTTGTACGGGGCAGAACAGAAAGTTCCACCGGAAAGAAAGTCTCAAGCCAGCAAGACGCTAGACCTCTTACGGTAATTCGTTCCGGTCGAGCATCTGACCAACACGCCGTTCCGAATAGGTATCCAGCTAGCATTTCTACCCCAGCAAATGCAAGAACTTGGCCATAATGGCTATTTATTATTATTCTCATTTTCTGTATGGGAGCTCCGAGGCGCGGTCAATCCATAGAGGAGACGTTGATTGTAAATGTTTGCACCCTTCAAGACATCTCAACGGACATGACTTTTGGCCAACAAGCTAACTTCCACTCGTCATGTGGATGAGGCAAACTATCGCCAGAGGAAGTTGTCCGATGACCTGAAAGGACTTGATTCAACATAACACGAAAGATGCTAAATTCAACGTAGCTAAATACCTCTCTATTCAGCCTACATTTGTTCTTACATCAGGTGTAAGAAGTTGCTACACTATGGCGTGACTCAGTAGCCTCCCATCGATGGCCCGCTGATGGGCTTAAACTCTACCTCAGTCGGCTGATCCGTGATTCCACGCGCAACTGCAGCCTCCATGATCACAGCGGTAGCAGTGGCACCAATTCGGGTGACCCCAAGCGACATGACGTGAAGCAGATCATCCAGCGTCCGAATGCCTCCAGCAGCCTTTACTTGGACCTCGGGCTTCGAGTGCTCCCTCATAAGCTTCAGATGCCGAACAGTGGCTCCTTTGTAAGTGTACAAGCCATTGGGCTGCTTCACAAAGCCGTACCCAGTCGAGGTCTTGACAAATGCGACGCCAACATCGGAACAGATTTCACACAGTCGGATAATGTGCTCCTCTTGGAGATAGTCGTTCTCAAAAATAACTTTGAGTATTGCGCCATGCTTGACGACGACATCGTTGATTTGGCGAATTTCTTCAGCAACATAGGTCCACTCGCCACCGAGAACTTTGCCGATATTGACGACCATGTCAATCTCTTTGCCACCGGCGGCAGCCGCCTGGTTGGCTTCAAAGACCTTGACTTCGGTGGTACTGTTACCGTGTGGGAAGCCGATGACAGGGCAGACCAGCACGCCGCTACCCTGGAGTTCCTTTTTGGCGAGGGGAATCAGATACGGCTTCACGCATGCCGTGGCAACGCCGTACTTCTTGGAGATGCGCAAGCCTTCTAGAATATCGGCGTCGGTCATGGTAGGGTGAAGTAGGGAGTGATCAATCATCTTGGCGACCTGCTGAAGGGTGACAGTGATGGTGTTGGTAGTTGGGGCGGCCATTTTTGTAGTCGAGTTGGATTCAAAGATCGAGATCAATGTTGGGAAAAGAGGTGCCAACGATGGAAGTTGAAAAGGAAGATGGCGATTGCGACAATAAGTTACAGAGACTAACCGGCTCGAGCTATTGTCACGGATAGTATACATACTTCCACGAAATCTGGGCAGCAGTGTTTTATAGGCTTCAAAGCACGTTGCGTGTATGTAAATATTCGAATGTAAGTTCCACAATTCGCTTTCCGCCGGAACGAGCCACCAAATTTGGCATCACCAGCTAAAGAGAGGAGATTTATGGACCTCATACCGAAGCGTACTTACCACACGCTCTCGGGGTCGCAGCGGTGGCATAGCTTCAACGTCCGGTGGATTCGAATACCACTTTGGGCTCATGACGACGCGCACTTCTTTCCGTTGCGCCTTTGTCTGCTTGGTAGCCTTCCTTTCCATCTCGATTTCTTTCCCAGACTACATTTAGTGATGTCCCGGAGGACATGCGAAATATCCCTGGTACCTTCAACTTCGCCAAGACTCTGAAATATTGCCGTTGCTGATTAAGAGCATAACAAGCTACAGCAGAAGCCATAAGTCGAGACTCAGACCAGTTTTGTCACTGTGAACATAGGCCACTGAAAGATAGCAAACCCCATCCGACCCTTTCATGCGAACGCTTCCTTTCATGCTGAGTAAGAGCACAGCTTTTTTGGTGAACATTACTAAACAATTGCTTCATTCTCTGACACTCTCCAAACAAGTCTCTCGCCACTCACAGCCTTGTTCCGCAGGAGCACAATGGCATCTTGAGCCCGCTCCAGTAATGTGTCTCCTTCGACTATCCTTTGCGGGTTTGGCCTCACCACCTTTTGCTCCAGCAATGATGGTATTATCTCACATTGCATCTTGTCCTTGAACAGTTTGTTCTGCATCAAACTTCGGTTAGTAATCAATGTATCCACAGATCTTTAAAGGGAAGGATGGAATACTTTGAGATAGAAATGTGTTCTGACACCTTTCACGACAACACCTTCTTTCCATTGCCCTTCTGCAGGCTCCGTCATCTGGTATGCAGGAGCTTCGATCTCTGTCGGGTCTTTGATGACGACGGGGAGCATGACCGCAACCTTGGTGCCTCGATCCGCCAAATGGGTAATGGGTCCGAGAGATCCTGACAAGTGTCCAATGCAATCAATAACATAGGGGACACCCTTGGGGCCTAGACGATCCCGGATGCTCTGGACGACGTGCTTATCTCGATAGTCGAAGCAAACCGTCGCGCCTAGCGAGGTGAGGTACTCGTGGTGTTTCCCGCTCGCAACCACAATGAGATTCTTGTACCCCCAGTGCCGGAACACCTCGATGGAGTACATGCCAACTGATCCGGATCCGCCCCACAACAGGATCGGCGCATCCGCTTCCGGGGGTATCCACCCTTCCGGGATAGGCCACGGGAGCGGCAGTCCGAGATCAACAGCGGCCTGGAAGACTGTAACGATGTTGTCGGGCACAGTCACGGCTTCTTGCATCGTCAGCCCCTTGGGCATCTTCCCCAGCAAGAAAGTGGGGACGGTGATGAGGGTTTGAGCAGCCTTTTCCTTGCCGTCCTTGTCGTCGCGGAATGAGTACCCCAGAACTTTGTCTCCGACTTCGAGGTCGACGTGGTGCGGCCTGGGCCCGACTAGGAGTACCGTCCCTGCAAAGGTGTCGCCCAGGATGCGGGGGAACATGTCGATCAACAAGCCGCCATCTGCTTGGTGCAGATGATAGGGCGTGGAGGAGGTCCATTCTACCTGGACAATGACCTCGCCGGCGTCGGGTGGATATGTGGGGGCATCGATGAGGATCAGAGGCTCTCTCGGAGCCTTGACTGCTACTGCTGGGTGGATAGCCGGGATTTCGATTTCCATATTGGGCGTTTCTTTGTTTCCGCTCTTGTTCTCACTTTTGGAGATTCCCCCAAGAAGTTTCTTCAACGAGGATAAGGAGGGGAACCAGCTGGGGTTTTAGGTCGTAGAGAAGCTCGAAGATCAGGACCCACTGACGATCATACGGGGCGAATTCACAAGCCGAATGGTTCGTTCACAAGAGATGCAGATTTCTGCTGGAGAAAGATGGAAGAATCAGCTTTGGATTCTGCTCTTGGGTCAGGGGTCTGATGACAGCATCGTGCATGTCTAGTCCGTTTACTAGCAGCTGTCTTCGTCGCCCCTTACGATGATGGCAGCTCTGCGGGGAGAGGGGGGCTTACCAATCCTGGCTGGGCCCGTCGCCGTGGCAAAAACGCTTACGATCGTCTCAAGAATGTCGGGGCATTGTGGCATTTCCTCTTGTTTTTCCCGCTGTTGTCCGTGTGCAGCATCTGGCTCGTGCGCGTATACATTTATGCGTTGTTGCTCATGTTGAGATGAACGCCGCGGCGACGTATGCCACCGGTGCCGGGAGCCGGGTGGAATGTGCTTTCATAAACATTCGAGCCGTGGCCGGCCTTCTTCGGCGCCGAGAGAACGCCCCCGTCTGCCCAGTCCAACTTTGATCGACATGTCATTAAAGAATACCGCAGGCAGCAGGCTCTCTTCTCTGGCAGTTTCTCTTCCTTGGAATCATCAGTCAAAAGCGTGGACAGTTCCGGTCCGACGTCCCTAAGCGGAAGAAGTGCGACTCGGCGAGAACCGGCGAGAAACAAGACTGCCGATCCGGGCGCGTACTCCACTGTCCCCATAGTTCCGGGTTTAAACGTTGGGCTCAGCGGCACACATTCCATTGGAGCAAAACTTGGCCAAAACTCGCAAAAGTGAATTCTAAGGGTTGAGAAGCGTCCTAGACATCCAATGCAAAAGATCATGATCAGTGGGAGGCTTGAACTCCCGGCCTTGGCATTACAGAACATTCCTGATGAAATATTAGTACCACGCTCTAACCAACTGAGCTAACCGACCAGTTGCTGATGAAGATCCTGAAGCCCTAGGGTGTCTAGTTTGGATCCACTGCGTGATTTTCGTTCAAAGTTGCGGCTCCACACATTCCAACGGAGAAGCATATTCAGATAGCACAGTCCATAGGCAGTACGAGGCAGTTGGCTTATCTGACCGTCAATCTTGATGCCTGGTATCGATACTGTATTGAGTTTGAGCTGATTGGCTTGGTGGCACATCAGCTCTTCAATGCTTTAACTTGGACACTTCATAATAGATTGCGGGTATTGCCTACTGACAAGTCTGGCACGCCCCAGGCATATTGACCAAGGTAGTAATCCAATGATGACCATGTCTATGTCGTCAACCTGTCTATTGGTTGATGAGCCCATGCAGCAGTACGTGGCTACAGGCCGGTTTTGTTCAGGAAGTACATGTAACCCCCGATCAACGCGCGCAGCTTGAACCCAGAAGACCAAGATCACTCTTTCCAAAGGGCTAGCTAGAACTCTCAAGATCCAAGACTCAAGGCAGGCACTGGCTATAGTACTGATTCGAGACTTTGCAAGTTCCCTGAGAACAGGTCGTACCGCCAGTCCATCCTTGGCCGCCGCATTGCCCATATAAAGCCACAGTCTTGCTGCCGCTGCTTGACGGAGGAGAGCTCGATACAGGAGCGGAGCTGGGAACAGCAGGGGACCCATTGCCACTTCCAGAATTTCCAGAGCCTGAACAGCTAAGGACCGGAGGGCCCGGGATCTTATATGAGCGACCGCCGTTTGTTGGCTTGCCAGAATTATCGTAGATGTTGATAAGAATGCCTGGGTCGGTCGCGGAGTAGGCGCCGGGAAACTTGACAGTATTGAAGCCCGCATTGGTGCCTGAGCCAGTCACTCGAATTCTAAAGCACTTTGTGTTAGGAGTCATCAACTCTCTCCAGACCTTATACAATGTGGTTACAACTTACTGGGCGCATTCCATATAGAATTGGGCATCTCCCTGTGTTGAGGCAGAGTGAAGGGCAATGATTTCAACGCGGAGGAGGTAGTCCCCAGGAGCTACACATGAGGGGAGAGTGAAGTAGTGCCAGCCATTGTTTGCTATCATGGTGTCAACCGCCCATGTACTTCCGCTTAGGCCGGCTTCGGCAATCTTGAACCAAGTGAGGCCCGTCGTGCCAGTGCTAGCAGCGTTGCTGACCTTGGCTAGGTAGACAACAATTGGGCCTGTTATTACATCCGGGTCAGTACTTCTGTACATTTAGGATTCGAAAAGAACATAATGCGGCAAGAGAAAGTCAAGGCTCAGGGTTCCACCTTTATGGCTTGCCGCGATGGGATTATCGGCGTCGTTTGTGCCTTGAGCACCTCCGATGATGTGCCCCCACCAAGCACCGATCTTTGCACCAGCGGCGATGACCACAATATTGTTGTCCTTGTACTGGATGTTGTTGTTGCAGGCGAAACCGGCATCGTTGACATTCTGAATGGGGTTGTTGCTTGAAGGTGCTCGAACCCCCTTCAATGCTCCTTGGTCAATTCCATTGATGGAGAGCTTCTGGAAAATTGTATGCCCAGACACGACGGCAACAAGGCCGAAGAAAACACCTGAGAGTCTCATGTTCAAAAATTTCGCGCCGTTGAGCTCTGGTCGAAGCTTGGTATAGCGGTTGGTCGATACTACATTCAAGCTCAATCTGTGGATGATTGGCCGTTCTTATAGACGCATATTGGAACTATGTCAAGCCCGCAATGGCCACATCCTCCGATTTGGTGGATATTGAAGGGAGATACTCATTCCAAATGCAATATGCTGTTGAGTTTGGCGGCATCTCATGAGTCTCGAAATCTCTTGCCTGGGTAATATATGCCACACAAGCCAGGGGGCGTGAGGCAGTGAGACTCGTCCGGGACTGCAACCGAGTTTTGGTAGCTGCGCTTACCCGTGAGGCCACAACGCCTTCTTTGTTCTAGCCCATGTCTTCAGTTACCTCTTCTTGATTGCAATCTGAGGTTTGTATCCCTTGATGCGGCGAAGGGAGTTGTACCCTGGCAAGCATGTTTGCTTCTTACAACCTCGCTTATATCGTTGGCAGCTCTGGTCGATCCGCTCGGGCCCCGATCCACAAAGTCGGGACACAGGAAGACAAGCGAGTACTTCTATCAGGACTGAACACCTGTTGAGCATCGCTTAATTGTGGCTGTTAGAAACTGAGACTAGCGGCTTGCTGTCAAACTAAACTAACAGATGTCAGGAACCATCATGATGGATCGGACCCGCCACTGAATACGGTGATCGAGCTTTTGAGCTTCACTTTCCATCAAATTCTCGAGTCTCTGCTCAGTTAAGAAGCTCTCTCGGATCTATTTAACCCTAATACTTTGACTTGCCTGCCTGCTGGGCGCAACGAGGCTACCGTGACCAACATCCACGAGCCAGGCAATGGAGTCACGCTGTCACAGCGCTGATTTATGGATCAGCCATACGTAAAAGTATTTGCCGTTGCGAACCATGTCTTTGACGAGGTGCTACAATTAAGATGACCTATGGGTGTCGCGCTGGATGCCATCGGTCCTTATCCTCAAGGGTCCTCTTTCGACTTCGTCATGGAGGCTCACCCGAACTACCTCCTTTCTCGGCATGGGGCTTTTCTCGATTCCATTTGCCCCACCCCGCTGTTATGACCGGCGCGAAGAGGGGCGCGATCGGTGACCGGCCGGCAGACGGAGACCACATTTTACGAAGAGGCCGAGAAGGCAAAATTTCGAAAATGTGCAGTCTGGTCTGTGTTTCAGACTTGCTTCCTCGCGTGGAGCAACCAATGATTCCGAGGCTCTCGGGCGCAGATGACTTCAGCGTCGAGAAAACGACGGGGATAGCCTAGACTGAGACGAGAGTCTACCGCTATTTCTCCAATGTTCAGTACCTGGTCAATGCTGGTATTAGAGTATGCCCTGACTCCCACATGGCTTTAGAACCTTGACCTCGAAATAAACTTTACTCGCGTCTCTTGATATGTTTAGCAAGTTTGCCTACCCATTGATGATCCCCAGGATTACCACAACCAAATTAATCAGGAAAGCTGCTAGGTCTTCGAAAGTGAGTCGAATTAAGTTGTGGGCAAAATGCATAGTCCATGGGAGTAATCATCTACGGTACTTAGTAGCTTGCGAGACGTAGCTTCGCGATGCAGAGGGCCCCATTGTCATCAAGCCATCAGAAAGCCGCAGCCCCAATGAACGAGTTGCTGTGTAGGTGACGCTGATACCCGCCATTTTCCCTCAATGCTGGAGATCGAAGGCACTCAATTCACACCCCGGGAAGCGAGCACTCGAGAAGGTCTAGACCTTAGGTGCTGTCGATCTGATGAGCTGGCTATGGGGTACGTAATGAACTATCATCTTGGCGCTCAATGGCTCTTTGTAAAACTCGCGGCTAGCTGGGCAGAATGTAGAACCGTGTCTTGTCTTGGAATGAACAAGATTGGTAGGATGCTGAAGCAAGCTAGGCCAACCCCTCTTGGTTGTGCTAGTCGTAGCCAGGAGGTGCCAGTCAACGTCTCGGAACGTCTGATCAGGCAGCTAAACGAGCTCGGAGCCTTCCCCGGCTTCACGGCACTGCGACACTAGTAAGTTGCCTATTGCGAGAAACGTTATTCTTGTTCTTCGGATTCTGACATCTGACATCAATACAAATCACTGGCCATGTCCTCGGAATCGGTCCGCAAGTAGATACCCCGAGCAAGTGCTGACGTTGTTAGCTCAATATCGCTCCTGGACTAGCTCCGGCTCCCGCGTCTCGCTACATGAACTGGCGATCGTGGCTGCCGCGGCTTTGAATGTGTTTCTTTGTCGATGTCAGAATCGATGGCTTTCCGGGAACCCGGATACCTGGGTCGACTGCTGTTTGCAGCAGGTTTTCGGTCCCACAACGCTTTGTAATTTAGTCATCGGTTCATCCTCCTTGGTTTGGAGACTTTGTTCCGCCTGAAGGAAACGGCGCCAGGCCGAAGAAACTAAGTTTGCTTTCACCCAACCATGTAATCGGATGATGGGGAATGGGCTTACCCTCAGACACGCAGTTCTGCGACCTATCGCCTGTAGCTGCTCAGGTCCGTGAGACAATGTGCGTGATCCCGTCCTTCTTTCTAGAACAAGGTTTCGAGTTTTACTCTTTTCACTTACTGTCTGCTGTACCTACTGTCCCCCTCACTCTCCCCAAAACCATCAACCCATTTCTCGTCGTCCCTCATTACTGTACCCACGTTGGCAGAATACGACCGTATACGGGCATGTAATGTTTGTTCCTTGCCTCAATGATCGAATGACACCACGCCTGCGCGTATGATGTACTTGTTGTACAAAACGATAACCCGAGCGACGATACCACCGTTTCCCATACTACCGCGCGACGTCGACCCCTCTGACGATGTCGTCGATAACCACGACATTAGCGCCATAATAGTAGCAACAGTGGTTCCGACAACCATCATATCTACGTTATTCGCATTTGCGCGGTTGTACGTCAAGGGATGGATCCAGCGCCGGATTCAATATGACGACGGGATTCTCCTGGCAGCGGTGATGGCGGGTTGGACGGCGACTGGGACGACGCTGAAGGCTGTCGCGCTCGGCAATGGGAAACACGTTGGTATGCTCACTGATGAGCAGAAAGAAGAGACACTAAGATGGACGATATTTTCATTTGGCTTTGGAATCATTGCGCTGGCTTTGCCGAAGCTCGCCGTAGTGGCGCTGATGAACCGGCTACTCAACCCAAGACGACTTCACCGACTTTTTCTTTGGACACTGGGCTTGTTATGCTGCGTCGGATTGCTCGGAAATGTGATTGGGCTCTTTGCGGAGTGTCCGCAAGAAGCTGTGGTGAACATCACGTACACAAAAACCGCCTGTCTAGGCCCAGAGAGAGCGGTTGCATACTCAATATCAACGAGTGGTGGGTTTAGCTCTATCGAAATAGCGCCGGACGTAGAGCGAATTCACTAACCAGCGTGACATATCTAGGCATATCCGCTGCTACGAATGCTTATCTCGCCATCTACGTGGCACTATCCGTTCGGAGGCTGAAGATTGCACGAAGAAAGAGGCTGGCTATCACGATTTCTCTTGTTCTGGGTCTACTGTAAGTCTAGCCGGGCACCGACATGCCTCTCTAGCACGACCTGGAGACTCTTGAAGCCGTATATGAGACAATGAAGATATCGGGAGCTAACTTTTACACCAGTGCATTGTTTACCGCCTTATTCAAATGCACAAGACTAAAGTCCCTAGGAAGCCCCGACTTCACTTGTGAGTAGGACTCTACTTCTGATTGGCGTACGTGAGGGCTGATCATTGGATACAGACGACTCAGCGGACCTTGTAATATGGACGAGGTAAGGCATCGATGATACGACCCAAGAAATGTCTTGAAGAACGAGATGAAGGCTCAAAGATGTCTTGAGGTTCAGATCCAGGTAAATTAAAGATAGCTGACGTTGAACATAGTCTTGAGGCAGACGTCGTCATTATCGCCGCATGTATTCCAGCACTACAGCCTCTGGTCGATCATCTCTTCCCAGGGCACTTCTCAACTCCGATGCCATCTCCAACTATGCCGGCTTCACCGACCTCTACTGCCTCGAGAAGGAAGCTATGGCCTGGTCCCACATGTGGCGACCTTGAGGCCGCAAGAGATTTTAGCCTATCTCCACAGGGTCTTGAGATGATCATGATCGAGAAGGAATTTGAGATTGCCTACAGCAGAACTACAGTGAAGAGATCCTGCACATCCGACACATGGATTTCGGAATTGCCGGATGAGGAGAAGTTCAGGATAGTAAAGGATCATGGGCCCGATGGGTCAATCACGACGACGGTGGTGGTGAGATCTGCAACTCGTCCACCGGATCATCCGGCTTTTCCGCCTCAATGACGGCACGGGTGATGACAGATAACGAAGGACCAATACCCTTATATGTACTTAATGATCAAAGTAGTGATTAGCTCACATTTATGTTAGAGTTGTGGCAATGAAACAAGTCGGGGTGCGACCTTCAGACGATATTCCCGTTTAACGTTCTCTTCTTCCTTAACAAAGTTCAGTCGCAACCAAAATCTCCTCTACAGCAACCTTACATGAAGTGTGCAACGACTGAGGCTGAAAAAGCTTACTGCGTGTAGTCGTCTTCACTGCCTAGAGTTGCGCCGCCCTACTCTGCATTATACGTTACTTGGACACTTACACATCAGTGTAGAGAATGAACCCGGGAATTTCCTCTCCGCAAACCATGTATGTCCAAGCTGCGCTAGGCAGGTAGTCGAAGAACGTTGCCAGGCGCGCCCCGTCCTCAGGTGCGAAAAGCGTCCTGTCCCGCTCGCGCTCTTCCGCAACTTTGGACGGCAGCGACCAAGCCAGGAAGTGGTCCCGTTCTTTCCCCGGCGGAAAAGCCCTGTCCAAAGTGTAAGTGACTGTATAAGAATCCGAAACCGAGGTTATCATGCTTTACTCACAGAGAATTACCGAGTGCTCCGTGACACAGACAAGGCTCTTTACGCAAAAGGCCTTCCTTCCAGATGAACTCTCTGCCAAGCTGAAGAGCTTTGCCAATTTTTTCCTTCAAGTCTGGGAAGAACTTCTCAAGGTGCACGAGCGAGAGAACAAACCCAGGCGCTCCATGGCAGAATTGAGTAAGACTCTCGTAGATAGTATTACCTGGGTCGTCTTTCGTCTCCCAATTACCATTTTCTCGCTGTACTTCAAGCATCCGCTTAAGTGAGCCCCGGATAATCGGGTTCTCCGCAAGCTTCGGGTCTGTCAGTATGAGTTGGGTCAAGATGCCAATGTCACCGTGGACGGCACCGATATAGCGCTTCCCGCGCCACGTCCATAAGGGCCCTGCGCCAAGTGTCTTTTCGACGATTCGGACTTTAGCGGTGGTAAGTTGACTTGCCGTTCCCGGTCTCTGATGTATGCTATTGTCAACTTCACGTTGAACATGAAAAAAAACCCGCAAGTCGGACACGTACCGCGGACTCGACGGCGCGGATCATGTACAAGATACCAGCATAGCCGAAAAGCAGCTCATATGGATGGCCGTCTTCGTCGGCAAGCCTTTCTAGCACTTCTCGTAGCTTTGGCGCCTTTGATTCGTCCAGGATCGTCTGCACCGCCCAAAAGGCAGCGCTTTCGCATGCGAGGCCACAAGGCGCTGAATCTCCCGCTTCACGCTCGGCCGCGATATATGCGGCTGCCCAATGTTGGAGTGACTGACTCTGGATTCTGATTTCGGGATGAGACTCATGGACTCTAAGCAATAGATATGCCAAAGACGTCGGACCGCGGAAAAGGCCTCGACATTGTTCTTTCGTGTATACTTTCAGAGGGGGATGAGCTTGAATGATCTGTGTCAAAAACTCTTTGACACGATCCTCTGGGTTCTCTCCGTGGCTGAACGGAGCATAACCCTCCAAAGAAGTTGGGGTTGGAATGAAGCGCGGCGTATCTGAAGACATGTCGATTTTAGATGCCTAGTAACTAAGTATACTTGTATGTAGGCTTCTTCCAAGGTGCCTCCTTGGTAGTTGTGCGCCGTTCAACTCTTTGTTGTGTTTGAAGAACTCTCCTCAGCATGCATCGTAGTCCTTAATGGTAGTAGTGGCTGACTCTTTCAAGAAAATAAGAAACTTATCAGCTAGGCAGCAACGCGGGGATTTAGGAATGACGTCAAGCTCATGCATGTGCTTGTCAGCATTGCAGATAAGAGTAAACGTCGTCTAAGAAGTCGTGTCAAGCCTCAAATAAGTTGTTAGTTTTTGACAGCCTTAAATTGAGGTTCAGTCTCATCGACTAAATGCGAGGACCAAACCTAGCAATAACTCCTCAATGCCACATCTGCGCAGCAATTTGAGAATACTTGACTACACTAGGATATTTGGGGTTTGGACCAACCAACGGGCCATGTTATTCGAAATATCTGCAAGGGAAACTTTGAGTTGTCACCGTCTTGCGGTGTCGCGCAAGGTTCAGTGTAGTCACCAGACGTCAATCATCAATGATGCCTGCCTACTTGACTCGGCACGTCGTGAGTTGTGGTGGTATCCACGGTCAAGACAATTTGTATGCACTCTCTCCCCATGTCCTTTGTAGAGTCATTCTTCGCCGACAAAAGTGTTTGCATACCTACTCACCTATTCAAGGCAATGAAACATGGTTAGTGTTGAGTTTCCAGATATACATGTGGTACCCGGTCTGCTAGAGCCTCAGGGAAACAACAGCGTGGGGAACTCTTTCTGCCGGCAACCCCCTGAAGCCTCAATTAGGAATGAAATCGAAGCCTCCACAATATAGTACCTCAAGTTGAGATGCCATGACGGTCTGTCATGACGGTCTCGATCGGTGATACATCCTCCCACCACTCATATAGCCACAGCGTTGATCACTTTGCTATGATTTTGGCTTTTTCAAAGTTCGAACGGTAAGGGTTCCATACCCGTAGCCCTTCACCGTTGCATTGGTATCATAGTCATCCTGAGAGGCTTAGTCGGGAACGGCTATGGCCCATGAGTTCCTTTTGAAAAATTCAAGACTCTCATGTTGCCGATGGTCCGCCCTCAAGTCTTGGCGTAGAACATTCATTGCCCTGTTTCATGCCCCTTTCTGTTTACTTGGTAGAGTGCCTCCGTTCTAATACAACTTCCGGCCCCTCTTGTTCTCCCTCTTTCCCGGGCTTTTTCAGGAAATCCCACCAATTGTCCATGCCTTTTTCTGATTCTACGGTTCCACCAAGGGGTGCAGTGGATTGCCGGTGGGTGTCGCCAATTGCCGCAGGTTAATCAACTCAAGGGCATGATTGGCGACCGCAAGCCTGTCATTAGTGGAGAATTGGCGCAAAACGGGGGCTGCCACGCGGGCGATTGATTAAACAACGGCGGAATTCTGCTTGTCGTCGATCCATCTGACACTTTAATCTTGATGTCTAAAACATGCGACCAGTTTTGAGAGGAAGTCTTTAAAGACTCTTGAAGGTCTACGCTCGGAAGTTCGGCTTCGATCTTGAAGCAGTTTTGCGCACTTTCGTACCAACACAACTCCACGAACGGCATCACTCTTCCGGCTTTCTCTCCACAATGTTGTTCACGCACGCCATTCTTGCAGCTCTGGCTACCAGTGTCCTTGGACATGGTGTCGTTCAGACCCCAGAGCCCAGAACGGTAGGTCCCGAGACCATGCGGTTGCTCATTGAAAGTTGAGCTAACGAATTGTCCGTAGACCGGTGCCAAGCAGGAGGAGCTCTGCGGAGCTGCAGTGACAAAGAAGCTCGACAGCGATATCGCTGGTCCTATCGAAAACTCCCTTGCGGTAGCGGATGCCGACTACAAGTGCAACCTCTTCCAATGCCGCGGATACCAATACGAAGATAATGAGGACAACGTTCGCGTCGTCAAAGCCGGCGAAGTCATCCCTTTCCATATCGACCTTGTTGCTGGACACAGACCAGGACACGCCGTAAGCTTGACCTTGCATATCAATGAGAGAAGTTCATGCACTGACGTTGACAACAGAACATCTCCGTGATCGACCTTGCGAACAACACCATTATCGGCGAGCCGCTCATCTCGTGGTCTGACTGGCCCACCACCGACCCCGACCCGTTGGCCGACAGTAAGTGGATACAAGGTTTGGCCAAGTTGCGCGCGCTTCCTGCTAACAAGCATGCAGCTGACTGGAACATCACCATCCCCGATACCCTTGCCTCCGCTTGTGACGTTGGTGGCAAGTGCGCGATTCAGTGGTTTTGGTACGCCGAGACTAACAAGCAGACATACGAGAGCTGCATCGACTTCTACATTGGCGCATAAGTTTAAATTTTTGCATGAGACACTTCCGACAGCGTAAAGCACATTGACGACTTCATGTTGTACATATTTCCATATAGTGCATCTACCATAGACAAGTACATACAAACAAAGAACTCTCTTGAACAAGGTGCCTGGTTGCTCTTGAACGAGTGACTCATTCTGCGATTTATCCAATATTGCAGGGCGGTATACCGAACTAGGGGCTGCAGGGAAAGGAATTTATTCTAGCTTTCAATTCTCCTTGCAGAAACCGGCCTGCTATCATGCAACTTGTGGCCGCAGATGATTCAGCAAACCGTCGGAAGATTGAACTTACGATATCCGATGCGAAGGCCAGGCTGATTCAACAACTTCGAGTCAATCCCGGCCCGGTCATAATCATCCGGCTTTGGTCTAGCCCGCCTCTCGGTGATCCGCCGCTGTCATCGGACTCGTCTTCGGCCCGTAGCTAGCGCTGAGTGGGGTACAGGGGCTGTCAAAGACCTCGGTCTTAGCCGGCCCCGCACTCAAGATGCCGAACGAGCTGCCCGAGCTCAGGTGCTACATGTATTATCAACAACAAGAAGTTCGAGAGACTGGCAATCCAATTACTTCACTTTGATTCTCAGTGATAGAATATCCGATTCTTGTCTACCACACTCCCCCGATATCTTACCAACGCACGAGCAGACCGACATCATGTCTCAGATTCCATTTGCAGATCCACCATGGCTGAGAGGCTTACCCTCGCCGTACTTCAACGATTCACATCGCAGATTTCAAGTCGCCTGCAGAAAGTTCCTCGACGAGAACTTGCATAAAGATGCTATGGAATGGGAAACAGCGGAAGACGTACCAGCCGATTTATTCACCACGTTCGCCAAAGGGAACTTCCTAATCCCGGCATTGCCGGCGCCTTTACCCGTGGAATGGCTCCACAAGCTGGGTGTCACGCATATGCCCGGAGAGGTACCAGTAGACGAATGGGATGCATTACATACCATGATCTACTCAGATGAGGTGAGTTCTGTCTCATTCTTCATCTCTCCGAGTAACGCTGACAGTTTGGATCGCAGATGAGTCGTTCTGGGTTGG